TTGAGTTAGTATGGAAAAGTTAGGTAAACATGGAGAACTAAGAGTTGACAACATTTAACGCAGGTAATTGTACCCTGGGGGATATTGTTTCTACTGTTTGTACTATATAGTATTCTAACAACTTTTGAAATTTTAATAGTGTGTTTTAGAAGGATTGTTATAATGTTTATCTTAAATTACTTTAATGATATCCTAACCTATAGTAGTCATTTAGTTATGATATTGATGGCCTGAATAAAAGAAAAACTAACATAATAGAAAACACAAACCCTGAACAAAAAGAAACGAAATCTTAGCTGCACCTCTTAATTTCATCTCTGTTTCATATAAAAAGTGAATGAGGGATGTACACAGAACCAACAATATATGAAGTTATACAGAATTTGCTAAAAATTGAGTAACCTGCATGAAAGTTGAGGACACACTAAAATTTCTTCACAAGAATTTGGAGTAATGTATTATAAGGCATAAGAATGTGAACAGACATTCACTGTCTTCAAGCAATACTATCTTGAAACTAGCATTATTGTATGTGACATCTGTAGGTTTATTAATCTTCAGCCCAGATGGAAGTGTTTATGTTATCACAAATGTGAAATGAAAAAGCAAAGTTGATTGCACTTTCCTTGAAATAGATTTGACAAGACTGTTGAACATCAGTTGATCTGAAAAATAATTTTTTCTCATTATTAAGCTTACCCTCCAAATTGATGGTCACTCATGATTCACAAGATATTTTGAAATGTGAATGTTAGATGGCAAAAGCAATCCAAAACAACATGAGATTGAGTATATGTAAAGTATTATCTTAGACAAAACTGTGAAATTGCTGATGCACTGTTAAAAAAGTTGCACAGTGAAGATGGCTGTATATGTTTTGAATATCAAAACTTCCTTAAAAGCCAACAGGTTAAGTATAAAGATGTGCAGGGCTGTACCATGGGTAGTGCTAGTAGTATGTTAGTGCAGGTCACCAACTCAAAGGGGGGCACTGATTCCCTAATAGAGTAACAAAGCGAACTAATGGGTACTTGCCTGTATCAAGGCAGCTCTTTGTAATGATTATAATATAAGATTTTTTTGGGTTGGGGGAACGGTGCCAAATTTATGTTGCACAAGGTCCCAGGAAACATCGGTATGACCCTGAAGATGTGAGGCAAATGAAATTCCAAAAGAATCTGTGAAGGCTGTACTAAAGTATAGTATTTCTAATCAGATTCATTTATACATGTGACATCACCTGTAGGAATATTCAAGAGGCCACAAAGAACTGTTACGAACTTTTACCAAGATCATTTCAACTAGAATTACGTCATCTTTAAAACCTTCCCACAGTTAGACAGCTAAACAGGGTTGCAGGATAGTTGTGCATAATGAGTGCTGAAGAATTTCTTCAGGACCTGAATATTTTACTTAAAGAGCCAACAGGAACATACTCGTGGATAGCAGTCACTTGTAACTTTGGTTATGCCCTAAATGACCTGATGAACTATAATTTTGAGCAAAAAAGTGTTATAACTTTAACAAAAGTATTGTTTTAAACTTCTGATATTGGGTCGTCAGTCATGACTCATACCAAACTTTGTAAAAATGTATAAATATAAATGAAAAAAAAAAGATATTACTTAAAAGTAAGAAGGCAGAAATAAATATATGCTAAACTATACCAAAACAGCTTTTTGTGCAGGAACTGTTCTCAAGAGAATGATTTATAAAAAGCAAAACATGAAATCTTATTGATGTGTTTGTCATGGTAAAATGAATATTATGTATAGAGTTTTAATTTAAATCTTAAGACATGCATTCTTAAGAATGTATACTGTAAATATTTTTGTAAAAAGCTCATTATGGTATTGTGTGTATTTTACAGTAAAATATATTGGGCTTTTTAAAAGAAAATTATATTTATTGTTAGTTTTTTTTCTACTGACTTCTATTGGAGAAAAAAAACATAATACTCAGATTTTCTTTTTACTTTTGTATACTGTTTTGGGGAATACCAATCTTTTGTAACACTATTCTAGGCTAATATAAAAATAAAATCAATCCTTATTTAGATAATAGTTTTAATTCAAAATACTGATTTTTGTATTACTACTATATTTCATACTGTAATGTAGGGACTAGGAAAACATGTACAATTAGTGCTAGCAATTAATTCTGCCACATTATGTTATTGTCCTCCTATTTCCTAAAATAAAGTTAATCTAGAAGTGAATACAAAGCATTGAAATCATGTGTAACAATATTGTGATAAAATGTTCACCAGTCTTATTTTTATGGTTAATTTTATTTTGTATACTCATTAGCTGTTAGTCATTGTTAACTTTAATATTGTATTATATATTGTTATGAATTAACAATTTATTTAATGTGTTAAAAACATGTGAATGTGATATAAATTCACTATCAGTATTTCTGCATACCTAGTTAGAAAACTTTTTTCTTCCAAGAAAAATGGCCTCAAAAGTAAAATAGATGAGTGTGAAATCTGTCGTTCACATTTAATATACTGTAGTCATAAATAGTAAAAGACATGAAATACAAACTTCTGTTGGACAGTTCAAACTAAGTCTCAGCACAGTTTCCTTCAGAAGAGGAAAAAAGAAAATTCCACAAGTCTTACTTTCACCAATTATTGAAGAAAGATATGTAACTAAAAAATAACATTTGTTTAAAAAAATAGTACTGATTTTTGTTATTGTCTATAATAGTAGTTTGCTTGTAACAGGAAATTTTTTTTTTATTTAAGAAAAATTTGTGTTTGGTTACTGTCAAGAAGAATTATGTATTTATTGCATTGCATATTTTTAAAAACATGGAATCCCAAACAAGGAAACATAGAACACCACTTTTAATGTTTTAAAATAGAATAAAAGCATTGATTTCACTGATACATTACTACTTTACCAAAGTAGTATTTTTTAGTAAATCTGACCACAAAAACTGTGAATATGTTAGTGCATCATTCTGCAGAATCAACCTAATTTTTGACTTGCATTCAGATACATAGGGGAAGGTATGCAATAAAGTAGTTATATGGTGAATCACACATACATATTTCAAGAAGAGTATCTTATTTTTTTTGTCTTTCTACATCATTTTTGTAAAGCGAAACTGTAGATACAAAAAATATAATTCATTTAATAGAATTTGTGTCATATTTTTAATGTTTCTACCTTTTACATTTCCGTTAAGACAGTCTTTTTAATTATTGATTAAAGAACCTTTAAAACATTTGGAGTAGAAATTTGACATTTTGACGGCTTATATTTCAATGTGGTAGGTTAGTTAGTGGGAGATAAGTCACAGTAACACCATGAAAGCACCCCCCTCTTCTCATCTTTGTTATAATAGAAAAATGATAGAGTATAAATGTTGATTTTGAAGTAATAACACTGTGATAGTCAAATACAAGAATAAACAGCAGGAAACCACATACTATTTTCAAGCAATTGTATGCAACAAACTTTTAAAATACTGTTTTGTAATACTCTAAATGCTCAAGCTGTATGTCCAGTTATATTGAAACAGAATTCATATTTCCAACCTTTTCTGTTTAATTAAACAGAATTTGTGCACAGAAGTATGATTAGCTAAATGAGGATTGCTGCTTATACACACTTGTGGAATTGTAAAAGCTTATAAAGTATTAAAGATTGAGACTGAATGGGATTTGAACTCTTAACTCTACTAACTGGACAGATGCCCTTACTCGTATGATCTATTAAGTTAGGCCATCAGTTTTGATTCATTTATTTACTTAGTTTAACTAAATTTTTATAACGTGTTCAACTTGTTATATCCTGAATATTTGTTTATTATTTTGTTGTTGGTAACGTTAAAACTTAAAAATAAGAATTATTGTATAAACTTCTTATAATAATAATAATAATAATAATAAAGATAGATTAATTAACAAATCAAAAATTTGATTTTGGATATTTAGTCAGAAAAATATTTTAGGGATTTTTGTTCTAAGTATTTTGAAAGGTAATTTAAAATTTTAATATTTAGTGCGGAGCCTACTGAACTGAATAATTAATACAAAAATACAGTAACAGTAATTTTTTACAGTAGGTAAGTTATGATTGTAATGATTAGAACATTTTGAACCGTAGTATCGGGAATAATCACATTCAAAAAGGCAGTTGAAATCAACTGTTTATTTTTTTCTTAAATCAATTGCCATTTTGAAAGTAACACCTAATGATGACCTGATACTATGGATCAAAACATTGTAATCATTAATATCAGAACTTGACTAAGGTAAAAGTTACTATTATTGTATTTTTTGAATTAATTTGTAGTTTTATTATTAGAGAACTATTGACAAATTTTTATTCATGATGATATGAAGTATTTTCATTGCACTAGGGCAGAGGTCATATTACCATGAAAAATCTACATTTTATGTTACTTGACATCATTCTAGGAATAGAGAAATAGAATAAAAAGTAATCTTTTAAAAAATTTGTGTTTAGGATTTTTAAAATTTTAAGAGTTTGTGTTATGGTACAAAGAAACTTGATTTTGGTTGTGAATGATTACAGTTTAGTACCTATTGGTTGTTTCTGGTTATCTGACCTGAAGTAATCTCAGATTGACTGTAGATAATTACAGTTCATGTAGCATGTTTGGAGGAGCTTGACATTTGTTGTCACATAACATTTGTTCTGATATGAAGTTACGGTTGTCATTTTGATCATAGTTTAGATTGATGGCTTGAATAAAATTGAAGGTAATTAGTTATTGTGAGATTGTGCTATTTATATAAGATTACTTGACTGTTTATTTATGCCCATATTTTCACACTGTAAAATTCTGGTGTGAAAAGATCTGTTACTGGATTTTATTGATCCCAATTTAACTTTAAAAAACCTGATACTACTTGTTGCAAGTTACAGTTTAAGTAAATTTATCATCAAGAACTTTTTTTTTGTCTAGAAGCAGCAGGTATTTTCAATTTCTCTTAATTTTTTTGTTTCTCACACCTTTAGTCACCTCACCTTATCCTCCCCAGAGACCATGGATTTCTTTAGAACATCCAAATAGACAGAGTCCCTCATGTAAGTCCTTGCTGTTATGTAATTCTTATTAACAAAACTTAATGAATGCTAATCCTCTTAGTGGAACTAAAATTAAAAACTGGAGAGTTGAAAACTAAAATTTAAGTTAATAAAATGTTTGATTGGTACTTATGTACAATATACTACCATTAGGCTTATAGAGACCGCATTTATATTAAAATGACAGTGTTAGACAGAATATTTCTTCACATTTAACTATACATGTTACATTCTTCATTCAATCTTTTTTTCACAGTTCATGAGAAACTTAATGAAGTAGTTAAAGCTAACAGAATGCTGTGGTGATTTCATAAAGAAATGCCTTTATCCATTTAAAAAAAAAATTGTGTTTATGTTTCCAACAAGGTTTCATAACATCACTAGATGTCTTGTGTATTATAATATTAATAATAAAAGTACTATTCAATATAATACTGTCTTTTTTGTTGAGATAAAACAAGATGCTTACTTTATGTATCGTGGTATGTAATACTTTATGCTGGAGAAGTGTGATCTGTTGATCTCTTGTTTGTGTAATATTACATCACAATACACTTGATAATACTTATTTACAAAAGTTTCTTTACTGGCCCTGTACTAGGCTGTGACGTATGGCATACAAGATGTGTGGTCAAGATGCTATTTTGTTTTTTCTTTCTGAAAAAAATATAAGGCCAGTAAAGAAAGATAGAAATATTTGTAAAAAAACTATAATTAGGCTTATTATAATATTATGCTTATTTCACGCCTGTGCAAGAATTTAAGAAAAGCAAACACTTTTTCAAAAATTTGTTTTTCATGAACAAAATTATTAAAACTGTAAACAAAGTATATAAAATGATGGTGGAAGGGAATAAATGTTGTTTCCTTGAAAACTTTATTATGTTTAAATTCTTTGAGACTTAAAACACTCCATGTTTAAAAACATTTGTGAAATGATTTTTCAGTTTAAATTAGTGAATTAAAATAGATCAAAACTAAATGAGTAACACGATTTCGGAACTTGTTTTCATAAACCACTTACCATTCTCTAGCTGTAGGGTGAAAGTAAAGAGCTCAGCCTATTTTATTTATATAAGTAATTGCTTTTGGGAATGGTTTATTTTAAGCTGATAGTTTCAACATGAAGGTATTGATTTGTTCTCTTGACATATTCTACACGTTTATAAATTACAAAATATAAAGATTCCCTCGTGTGGAATATAACATTCTTATTATGATAATTTTAAATGTGTTTTACTGCAAAGACTTCTATTGTAAATTATCAAAATGGCATGTAAAAAATAAATATATGAATCAAAATTAATAGCAACAGTTGCACTGTTTATGTTAGAACTTAGATAAACTCTAAAACCTATTTTTAATATTATATATTTTTTAAACATTTCTTTTTTTCTCTATACAATATTATAACATGTTGTGAAATACTTTTATTTAGTTTTGATTAATATATTTATCATGTCATCATGTATTGAACTTGTGCTCTTTTTGGGGGGGGGATTTGAAATTATTTTTATCTACACTTCAGAATAACTTGCCATGGCACATTTTTAATTTCTGTGATTTGATGCATTTCCATTTTGATATATTACAGTATAATTCAAAATTATTTGATTCTCAAGGTTTGTTGGTATATTTCCATTTATGTCTTGTACTCTTATCATTTTTAAGGTGTTTTCAGTGTAATGTGTTACAATATACTGTGTCCTAAATATGCCACCCGCCAGATGTATGGGTACTGTCCAACTTGGGCTCTCAGCTGGGAGTACAGGCGGAAGTGTATAATGGAAGAGATTAAGCACTATTCTGCAGACATAATATCTCTACAGGTAAGATCATTTTAACTTTTAGTGATCCTTCTGTTGACACACAGCTACAACTTAGGTTTTTATATTCATTGTTATTATTAGGTTGTCAAGAACATAATGTCACTTTTTTTTAGATGAAAAAACCTGAATAACTTGTACATAAAAAAAAAACATTTATTAAATGAAATAGTCTCCATTCTTATAGATGATGCTTTTCCATCTTACAAGCAGGTTGTTAATGCCCTGATTAAAGAAATCACTTGGCTTTGAAGCAAAAAACATGTCGATGTCCTCTTTACCACCTTCCACGTTTTCCCATTAAGATGGTGTTGCAGAGAACGAAAAAGATGGTAACCTGATGGTGTCATATCTGGAGAATATGGTGGGTGGTAGAGAACTTCCCAACCCTACTCCATAATCTTGTGTTGCGTCAAACGTGCCACATATGAACGTACATTGTCGTAAAAAAGAAGAACACCTTCCGATTGACGAGTGGAGAGCATTTCTGATGAAGGGCTTGACTTAAACATTCCAGTTGCTGACTATAGATCTTTGCATTGACAGTTCGCTGTAGATTGAGGAGTATGAAATGAATTATTCCTTTGATGTACCACCAAATGCAAAACATCACTTTCT